TGGGAGCGTCTGGGGTGGAAGCTGAAAAAATAACAAAGGCGAAAGTTAGTACTGAGCAGTCTTGTCACGTGAGAAACTAACGAAAGATGTTTCTCGCACGGGAAGGACCGCCCGACCCATGGTACTTGGTTTTCAGTCAAGTAAACCCAGGAATACGGGCAGTATCTATCTCGGCTTTGACAAGCTGATCAGGAGTCAGGTACTCCATAATGTTGCAGGTCTTGCTCTCCTACACCGCAAAAACATCTTTGCAGATCTTCTTGCCAAGAAGCGGATTTGGAGATTTACGAGGGAAGGCATTCCACCTGTTCGGGATCAGACCGCCCGGGATGGAACCAAAGAAAAACCTACCTTTCCACCCCTTGATTGAAGTTAGACTACCCTTAAATAATATATGTCTCGTTCGGGCAGTTGCGGCCAAGTACCCATGTGTCTGCTGAGGGGCCACCTTAAAAAATTGATGGAACAGTTCCAGATTGGGCGTAACCTTGGCATCCACACAAAGGCAAATGAAGCCGACCATCACCCGATAGGAGTTCGGCATGATTTGGGCCGACACTACCTCATAGAATTTGAAGGACATAACAAATGGGTGCAAGGGAAACCTAAGCCCATCTTTCACCGAGTCTAAATGGACCACCACCATCCCAGGGAGATGGCGCATTGGATAAAGCCCAGCCCGAACACGGAAATCCACTGGGTCCGGAATTAGGGCTGGAATTTGAGCCCTAGTGTGAGAAGTCAGGTTATGCCTCCTCTCCCTGATTAATCTTAGATCAACCCTGTAACGAGGGACATCGCCTGGGGGACCAACCGCCATTGAGGCGATTTCATCACCGGACATCGTGCCATCAGAGTCCTCGCCGGAAGAAGTAGAGTCGCCTGAGGAATCTTCATCAACTGCCCCCGTAGTCGCATTACTGACAACATCAACAAAGGGGACAACTATAGCGTCCTGGGCAACGACATCATGAATTTCCCCTTGAGAGGCGGACTCCGAGTCCAAGCCGGAAGAATGTGGTTGAGAAGACATGTTGACCAAACACGAAGTGAAAAAAGCAAGAAGAAGGGGCGGAGTGTACCTGAACGGACGGAGCTTGAAGAATCCTAGAGAGAAGGCAGAGCAAAAGGACAAAGGATCTGAAAATTTGAAACCCAGAACCGGAGAACCAAATGCCTATTTATAGCCTGACAAGCGCCGATTCATTGACCAACCAGAAGGAGACACGTCACCAGAAGCTTTTGAGAAGACACGTGTCACGCAGAGGAACAAAAGCCAGTAATCATGACGATTACGGGGAAAATCAAACGACAACCGCGATAAGCGACTAACTCATGACATTGGGAGCCAACAAGATCTAGTTCCCGATCGATACTCGGCCTAAAAGTTCTACTTCCTTATGCACTCACTACCGTTCGAGACATCGGAAGTGGGGGACTCGTGTTGGGATATTGGGACGAAAGCCCAATACCCGGCCCAAAGGCCATTGGGGAGAACGAGCCCAGGAAGAGATGTAACCCGATCGGGAACTGGGGGTCCATAGAGTTGACTCGGGTCGCGAATGGGGAATGGCTCACATGATATACTTGAGGCTGATTGACGGGACACCAGACAGGACCGCCATTCCGCTGCCCGAACGGGCAGCCTGCAAGTGGCAAAGTGCATTAAATGCTAGGGTATGGCGCCAGCAAGTGGAAGCATGGGCGTTCAAGCGGTTGAATTAGCAACCAATCAGCATGGAGCACCCCATACCCCACCTACCCCTTTTTAGAATAAATAGGGGTATTGATTACATTGTAACGGGTTAACATTTTGATACTCAAGGCCTATAATAGTTTTCTCACTCTTGTTCTTGCATTAATCACTGTTTCGACGTGCCGTTCAGGAAGTTTACTGTGTAATTAACGAATTACGTAATACAAGTGGGCTTTTGAGCACAATATTACTCAGCTTTTATATTTTCTTTTATCCTCGATCTATTTTCCACGTCCTTAATATCCAAAGTGGGTGTTGGGTTTTCGGATCTGCTGGACTAAACCTCAACAGTTATAATTAATTAACTTTTGGTGCATGACATGCATGTGAAAGAATACACAATCCTCCCTACAACAGTTCTCACAATTTCTTTGTAATGATCCGGTCCATTATACCGCCTCGGCTAGCCAAGATGGCCGTTGTTCTAATGAATTGTGCTACACACTTGGTCAAAAGTTAGGCCAACAACTGGAAAATCTTTATTACGGATGCCTCCTCTGATCAGTACTATTAAGGTATATCCAACCTATATTGGGAGATTCCGTCACATGGATACCATTTTAATTTGGTGTATTAGCAAATAAATCTATGACATAATTGATGCAAGCATAAAACATTTGGTGCAATCAACGGTTAAACGTGCATGTGGGAACCTTAAAAGGGCGAGCCACCGTTTGGAGAGGATCGACGAAGACTGTTGTCCGTCTAAGCTTAAAAAGGTTGTTTATACACCCGTATGAGTGTTGTTTTCTTCCCTATAATGTCTAGTTTTTTTTCTTCTATCAATTTTGACAGTGGTGTTGTGGATGGTTTCTTCTCAAATTAATGAGGACGAAGTTTTGCCGGCAGAGGTTATGGTGTCAAGGGCTGCGAATGGGATCTGAGCGATGGGGGATGAAGATAAAGTGATGATGATCCGACCCCCTCTTGAACGCCGCCATGGAGGATCTGTGAGACTAGGGTTCCCGCCGCTGCCATGGGTCATCTGATCCATTAGTTTATCTTTTTTAATTTCGTTTTATTTAGGTTTAGTTTTTTAATAATGAACTATGTTCTTGTCATTTTGTTTTTGGTTAAAGTTCATGGTACTAGGTTTATTACGATGACTGAGGTTTCGGCTAGATTTGATATGGTTAGTGGGGGATAAATTTATTTGTTCAGCAACATGTGCATTAAGTTTGTCTGGTGGTTAGCGATTCGTATTGCTCCTTTTGAGGTATTCTAATCGTATGGTTATAACTAGTAGTTGGAAGGTGAATGTTGTACTCAACGTTGGTAATTTTGATATTGATGTAATGATCCCGATTCTAATGATATCAATATAGGCGATTTGCTCTTCAAAAAAACATGCATGTGAAAGATAACTACAAATATGAAATTCTCACATACATATATGTAGAAAGAGATATAAAAAAAATTCTAGGTAAAAAATAAAAGGTGGTAAATAAATATTACTTTTTTATTAGTATTTAATCTACTTTAGAAACTTCTATAAAAACATCAATATAGTAGCTACTTAATTCACGTGTTAGTTGGAGTATCATTTACTAGTATATTAGTTTTGAGATTTTATTAGAAAGTTGTCAATCATAGATTAGTATACAAAACTATTTTTTTATATTTGTTTTAAGTTCTTGCTAATACATGAAGAATAAATAGAATTAAACATTTACCAACAACCATGAAATTTAAAACTAGTATATAAAAAGTATTGATATTAATAAAAATGTGTAATATTGAAAAAACAAAACAAAAAAGAATAATTGTTGAAAAAGATAAAATTTGAGCCCTCTTTTAAAAAAATTTAAGAATAAAATATATTTGTAATTTTGATGATAGTTTGAGGTATAATAACCTAATAATCCTCATACGAAGCGGCAATGCGCAACTCGTATGCGAAATGGAGATGGTGCCATGAAGATTTCTTCATTAGCGATATAGAGTTTTTAGGGATGGATTCCTCTTAGCTTTAACAGGAAGAGATAAGATGGAATGTGAGAAGATGAGTATGGTGCAAATCGTAGCCGAAGGTCTTATTTTAGTCGTGAAAGGTCGTGGTGTCATGACCAGGACGACGACGAGCAGTGGCTTAAGCATGTACGAGGGGCAACGAGGGTCAATGAGCAACGGGTTTGGCGAATGTGAGAGTTTGGGCGGCGATGTAAGATAAGTCACACCGGTACTAATGGTCTGACCTCCTTCGAACCACCACCATGGGTTGAATAAGGTTCGAGAAATTTATCCTATTAGTTTTTTTGTTGTTGTTTAGATTCTTGTTAAAGTCTATGTTGATAGGTTTGCCGGAATGATTGAAAATTTAGTTTATTTTTATGTCATTAGAAGTATACAAACACACATGATCAGTGATAGCTGTGTCAAGTCCGTTCCGTGGTTAGCGATCGTATTGCTCTTTCAGGTGTGACTGTTTCTATTTCTAATCGTAGAGTTTATACTCAGAGTTGGTGAATGTTAGTTAGTGTTAGGTATGATTTTTTTATCGATGTACCGATCTTGAAACCAGTGTTATAAATATAGGCGATTTTCTTTAAAAAACCTAATAAACCTCTAAAATACGATCACATGCTTACAGGACACTGTTTGCTAACACTAAAATTAACTGAATCTGCTTATTTTTTCTGGAATTTGTGAAGTTCTGGCTAAAGTGACTAAATTAGATGATTCTATTGATTTATTAAAAAATTACATTTCAAATATATTTCATTAATAAAATAAAGAAAAAATAGCCAAAATAGTCCTCTATAGTAATTTAAGTTAATGCAGTCAAAAAAGTAACTCTAAACTTGCTTAATTTAATTATCACACAATTCAGAATAAGAAATAATAATTCCATTAAGAACAAAAACAAAGTAAGAGCCCGTTTGGTAGCACGAAAATCGGCTTATTTGGCTGATTCTAATGAAATTTATAAGTTCTGACTCAAGTGGCTGCGTTGGCTGATTTAAGAAAAAAATAATTTTAGAATATATTTTATTAATAAAATAAAGAAATAATTATATTTAAAAATAGCTAAAATGGTTATCTACCGTAACTTCGGCCAATACAACCAGAAAAGTAACTCCAACCTTATCTTTTATGCTCATTACACAATTCTGCGCGTGAAAGCAAAAGTTACGTGTTTGATATAAAAAAGTTGGCTCATAAGTATGATAATTCTAAAACCAGTGTTTCCAAAAGCCTCTAACTTTAAATGGACGTGATATGCTTCCTAACGATTATAATCCAACTTGATGAACAAAAAAATGTACTCCATAATTTTATAGTTTGGTGCAGCATCAAAGTATCAAACGGTACGCCAGAAGAGCGAGCAAGTTCTAGCTTCTGGCCTCCATTCTTCATTTCTTCCGTATCCATCCGGCAGGTATGTCTTTTTGAGCTCCATCTTCAGTCTGCTTCAACTTCCAACCTTATAAAATAACCCCAAAGAAGATTTATGTCTTGTTTACATTTTCCAGTGACATGATAACCAATTAAGAGATTTTATTCTCACTGAGAATTTTAAGAGGCTGAAATTCTAAATCTGAAACTCTACTGTACAGATATTCTATTAACCCTATCTTTCCGAAGATGTAAATGAACACCGCTGTACATCTCATTTTCAATTTTGCTTTGCCAAATTTTTCTTTCGATTTCACCATTTTACGTTCTTTCTTCAGGAGCACCGATTACGTTAAAATGTTTGCAATTTAATTCTTGATATTATCTAATAATTAAGTGATCTGCATTTTGCAAACCTAATTTATTTCTTTAGAGAAAAGAATTTGTATGTAAGAGTTATAGAGAGAGCATGACTGCATGAGCAAATGAACTGTTTCCACCCCTGCATTCTTTTGGTGGGGAAATTCATATAACTTGAGTTTGTTTATTGTGAACTACAAAATAGTTGTCGTTATTGCTAGTCTTTTGCAGTACTCTCTAGCCTACGTACAACTCCCACTTCCCACAGCACGTCAGTGAAAAAGACAAGGCCAAAGGTTAAAACAAATTATAAAAAGGATCGACAAAATTCATTTTGCAAAAAAAAAAACCACCTGCCCTTGGTCCTAGTGATGCCTCTTCTATCTTTGTTAGGAGTAACTTTTGGCAGGAGAATTGGCAGTGGGAACTGCATTATTATTATCATTATTATTGTTATTATTATTATTTTTATAGATAGATTGTTTACTGGCCGAGGAAATAAACAAAATGGGATATGCAATTGCCATTAGAATTGCATTTCTTATCCCAAAAAAAGAATGATTTCAATTTCTATTCTGAAACTAAATTAAAGGGGAAGAGGACATAGACATTGTTTAGAAGAAGCTGGGTATTATTAGTTTTTAAGACACTTGCTTGTTTGCTGATTGTCTCGGAATAAAGTTAATCCCCCACCTATCTATTACTACAAGCTACCTTATATGTTCATCTACTTTTCTGAATTGATGAAATCCAAAATAAGCCAGTCAAACAAGTAGATACTATACTAGGTTGTAACTCAATTAATACATCACCATGCAATGGATATGGCATACTGGTGTTTGGTGGTGGCGAAGGTCTGTTCCATGATGTCATCATTATTGGTGATGTTCTTTTTAATTGTTCACGAGTGATTGGTTGATCAACAAGTACACTGACTTATCGTTAAAATGACTTAGATTTGACTCAATAGCTACAAGATAGAGTCTATCTTGACCCCCTTAAGCCCTCTATACACTTTTGAAATACTTAGTTGACACTTTCTTTGCCGTGCTATTGTACATTGAATTGAGATCTTGGAAAGTCATTACTATGCTTTATAAATTATCATTTTTAGTTGTTAGATAGATTTTTAATTTTGATATTTGGTGTTTAATTAGTTGCTTGGTGAAACAGTGTAGCTCCCTCCAGGAGAAGTTCAAACACAATGTCAATGGAGGGGGGTGATAACCACAATGATTCCGAGGATCACATAAAAAATGCTATGGAATTTGAGAATCATCACGGTGGCATAAATGATAAGGACAATTCAGGTCTCACTAAAGAGAGTGCTTTGCATTATAGTGACCAGTTTACAAGCGACAGCAACGATGATTTTATACAAATGGTTGTAGAACTTAATTTTCAGAATGAATATTTGAAGTATCAAATTTTGGGGTTGAAACAAGCCCATTCACATTACATTCCGAGCCAATTAAATAATATAGTGGAGCATGAAGTTGGCTCAAATGCTGATACCAGAGAGTTTCATGAAAAGATGGAACACTTAGAAAAACAGCTTTTAGAGGAAAGACAAACCCGTAGTGCTGCAGAGGAAGCTGTCAAGCATCTCCAAACAGTGTACTTAGAAGCTGACAGAAAAGTCCAAGTGCTTTCAAATACACTTGCTGAAGGTTGTATAATTCTCCTCCAGGCTGTACCCATGCCTTTCATATCACACGTTTTTCCTGATCATTTGAGTGCATTATCAACTTCAGAAAAATAATAGTCTATATCTTTATTTACATGGTACATTGCAAATTAATATTTGTTCTTACTTCTGCATCTAGTTTGTATGTGGCATTGCTGATCTCAAGTCATTAATGGTTTGTTCTGCATAGCCCAACAGAAGATGGAGCAAGAACTAAAAGACCGCGATGAGAAATATTCTGAGCTTGACTCTAAGTTTACCAGGCTTCACAAGCGAGCTAAGCAGCGTATTCAAGATGTTCAGAAGGTAAAACAGCGTATTCAAGATGGGGGCTGGTCACTTAAGAATTGTCAGCTGATATGAAGTGTAATATTCTGGATTTCGGATATAATTCTATAAACTAGAAAATTTAGGACCTATTGTGAATATAAGCATTATTCTCTTTCTATTTTCTTCAAATTGGCCTTGAGTGGAAGCTAATATTAATAATTTCTAACTTCAGGGTAGAAACTTACGTAAGATTGATAATTTTAGTCCTGTGGGCATGCTTGCTCCATGTCCCTGCTCTGTTGTGATGCTATTTTGTTATTTTGATATATTTATGTAATGATGTAAAGATAGTCATTATAGGAGAAAGAAGATATCGAGGCCCAGTTTCGAGATGTCAATGAGAAAGCTGAAAGTGCTTCTTCTCAGCTATCAGCATTGCAGCAAGAACTGGAGCGCAGTCGACAGCAAGCACAGGAAGCACTTAAAACAATGGATATGGAGAGGCAACAACTACGGAGTGCAAACAATAAGTACATTCTCCTTAATATCTTGAAACACTATAAACCTATGAGTGGTTATGACAACTGCACATTCCAGGGCTTGCGTGTTGTGAATAGAAAAATAAAATCAACGGGGTAAACCGTTGCCCAGATAATCAACGATAAAAATACTTTTGCCCAGAGCCAAAAGGCTAAACTCCATTTTTTTTCATAGATGATCAAGAATGAATCATACAAGGGGTTTAAATAACAATCTAAGTCGAATAAGAATATGAATCCCATTTAAATCATACTAGGAAACTAAATAGAATAGGAAACCTCTAATTCTAATAAGAATAGAAGTCCTAATTAAACTATTCTAGGAAACTAAATAGAAGTCTAATAAGAATAGAAGTCTTAATTAAATCATACTAGGAAACAAAATAAAAGGAATAATTAAAATTAATTAAATGGCCCGCAGCCAGCCCACGAAGGTGGACTCAAGCCCGCCCCCTGCTCTCCTTGCTCTCTATCAATCCATCCTCCTTCAAAATAATCTTGTCCTCAAGGTTGAAATCTCGTAGTTCGAGGGCTGAACATTCCAGTCATAGAATAGACTGGTAATTATCCCTCATCTCCTTCCGGACCCCCTTGGCCTTTCTTAACCTTTTCCTGGCCGTTTATTTCCCAATAATCATGTTGTTGGAGGTCCAACCCCTCATCCTCCTCAACTATCATTACCCGTAACTGCTTAAAGGGGCAGTCATGCCCTGATGTAAATGGTTTCTTACACCTAAAGCATAATCCTTTCGCCCCGCAATTCTGCTAACTCTTTCGGCGAAAGTCGAGTGAACTGAGAGCGTGTCGTAGGCTGCCCGGACAGCCCTGACTTTGTCCCCGGGGGCTGTCCACTATCTTTCGGAAAGCTGCCACTCGATCCCTGTAAGCTGCCACCACTGGCAGTCAACGGAGGACCCGTGTTTGACATTAAAAAGCTGCCGGAACGTACCCTTGAAGGATTATAATTCGGGCTGCTACTTCCTCCACTCCGGACGGACAGATTATGTTCCACATCGTGAGATAATTCCATGGCTTCTTCCAAGTTACCCGGTCGAAACAAGCGTAGTGACCTTCGGATTGATTCTTTTAGCCCGTTCATGTAGTATCCCAAATAATGATCATCGGACAATCCTGTGGCTAACTGAACAAATAGGGTATTCTAGTCCACTGATCCAATCTGTTTGGCGCCGGCCAGCCGTTCAAACTGATTCCCCTGAAATCGGGAATCGAATCTGGCCACCAGAGCTTGCTTGAAATCTGCCCAGGTCATGCCGGGTTTGCGCGCTCTCAGCCAGGACCCAATGGAGGGCAGCCACTTCCATGGCAACTACAGCTGCTGCCACTTTCCTGTCCGGTATGGTTCCGTTGAGTTCAAACTGCTGTTCAACACGCGCTGTCCACCCAATCGGGTCTTCTCCGTCAAACGCGGGCAGCAGGGTTGGTGATGTGTTGCGCGGCAGTCCGTCGGCGCTGGGCGCAGTCACGGCAGCAATTCCGACCGCAGTCGATGATGTTTCCGGCGAGACCGGCGGCACAAGGGCTGGGTTAACGCTGCCAGGGATGCAGCGATCTCAGCCAGCCGCAAGTCGTGTTCCTCCAGGGTTTGATTCATTCGAGCTTGTTCGGCCTCCAACTTTGTCAAGCGATCGTTCTGAGATCTCGTCATCTTGGCGGGACGGGATCCGGCAGGTCGGATCAATATTTGAGAACAGAAAAAAAATAAAAATCAACGGGGTAAATCGTTACTCAGATAATCAACGATAGAAATCGTTGCCCAGAGCCAAAAGGCTAAACTTCAATTTTATTCATAGATGATCAAGAATGAATCATACAAGGGGTTTAAATAACCCTCTAAGTCTAATAAGAATAGGAGTCCTATTTAAATCATACTAGGAAACTAAATAGAATAGGAAACCTCTAATTCTAGTAAGAATAGAAGTCCTAATTAAACTATTCTAGGAAACTAAATAGAAGTCTAATAAGAATTGAAGTCTTAATTAAATCATACGAGTACTAAGAAACAAAATAAAAGGAATAATTAAAATTAATTAAATGGCCCGCAGCCAGCCCACGAAGGTGGGCTCAAGCTCGTCCCCGCCCCCTGCTCTCCTTGCTCTCTATCATTGCGTATCTCCCAATAAGAACTGACATAGAGGGAAATGCCATGATAAGTTTGTTGGATGTGTGGTAGGAGGGTGGATTCGGAACTAATGTAGGTTGTGTGCCTTCACGATTCATAACCTCTTGTGGCTGTTAATTGGGAGAAATCTCCATCTTGCATGCACATGTGGTGTGTAACTCTACTTTGTGGAAGAAATAGTTGAGGTTTATGGGTATAAAATCTAACTGTCTTTTGCTTATATTAAAGTTGTGTACCTTGTGTAAAACAAAAGTTGAATGAGTTGTTGTAAAAGAGAGAGGAGATGCTGCTATAAGTGCCAAGGTTCCAGTATAATCATATAAGCACTGTTCACTAGACTTTACACAAAAAACTGTTCCATCTTTTCTCTTCACTCTATGTCTTCTAATCATAATAAACCGTGTTGCCTGAAAAAGAAGTCTTAGGCAGTTTGGTTCATTCTCTCTCCCACTAGATGCCCTTCAAACATTTATGAAAGTAAAGGAAGAAGATATCCAATATTTTATTGAAGTCTGATCTGAAAGTAGCGTAATGTCGCGGACACTGTTCTTCTAGGTTTCTAAGCTTTTCTTGCCAGTTTCTCTCACTTAAACACATTAGCCAAAATTCAATTTCTAATTATTTTATGTAGTAACTTAACCAACAATATGTAAAACTCTTGATACTAACAGGGAATCAGTGACATAAAAAATTGCAATTACGATCTTTATTTTTCTCTTCCTGGCATAATTAAGCTACTATTATGTAGGCTTCGAGATAATATTGAAGAACTGCGTCGCTCTCTGGCACCTAAAGAAAATGCTTTGGAGGATTTACAACAGTCGCTTGTGGAAAAAGATCAGGTAAAAGATTTTACAACAAGTTTACAAGTGCTTTTTTTCGTACTTTTTTCATTAACATTATTCTTTTCTAGAGTTCAAATCCTCTCTACCTGTCTACCACTTTCCGTCTTCTATTTGAGTATCACTTGTTCTTATTGATGATTGTGTACTAAATAATTAGTATAATAAAAAAATTATCAGGATTCCAACCAATCAGAATGAGTGCTACACTAGTACATAAGTCGAACATAGAAAGTGGTACATAAAACTTCATTCCCCTTTTATGGCTCTTAAATCGTGTGTACATGTATTGTGCACTTTTAAGTATAATGTGAAGATATTTTGTCATGTGGCTCTCAACTTTCTTTTTTTGAATAATGTAGTTCTCAATTTAGGGGTGTTTGGATTTGATTCTTAAAACTGTTTCTGTTCCTTCAAAGAGCAGAAGCAGACGTTGGAGTGTTTGGGTAAAAGTGCAGAAGTGATTCTGATGCTCTAATTTACTCCTAGAATCAGTTTTTTTAGAAGTTGGGGATGACCAGCTTCTCAAAACTTATTCTGATTCTGCTTCTGCTTTAAAAAAGAAGCAGAATCAGAATTAGTTCCGAACACAAGAGTACAAGACATTTCTTTTTTGCTAGATATTATATACTTATATTTTTTGAAAAGATAAGTATAACGTGATTGAACACATGTTCTTTAATGATTCAAAAGGGCCCTATCTGAAATTTGAACAAAAGAAGTTACTTGAAATGAGGGCAGGAATGATATTTAAATATCAGTGTGTATGTTTATTCATTCATTTTTATATCGGGACATGTTGATTCCTTTGCATGTAACTTGTTGAAATATAAACTAGAATGATATTGAAGATGAAGAGAAGGATTTTCTGTGTATATTAATTGAAGAGTTAAGTCCCTATATATAGATTGCAAAGATGGAATATTCCTATATAAGATGCTAATATGCTATACATTAATAGAATCTAGAGTATATTCCTAAAGCATATTCTTATAATTATAATATCTTTCACACTCCCCTTCAAGTTAGAGCACAGATGTTTATCATGCCCAACTTGTTACATAAGTAATCAACTCCATTCCCATTTAGAGCTTGAGTGAATAAATCTCCAAGTTGTTCTCCAGTCTTCACATATCCGGTAGAGATCAATCCTTTTTGTATCTTCTCTCAAATGGAATGGCAATCAACCTCAATATGCTTGGTTCTCTCATGAAATAATGGATTATTTTCTATGTGTATATCAGCTTGGTATCACACCACTACTTAGCAGGCATTGATGCCTTCAATTCGATTTCACTTAATAAATGGTTTATCCAGATTATCTCACATGCTGATTGTGCCATAACACGATATTCTGATTCAGCACTAGAACGAGAAACCACATTCTGTTTCTTACTTTTCCAGGAGACTAGGTTACCACCAACAAAGACGCAATAGTCAGACGCAGATCTTTTATCATCTTTAGATCCAGCCCAATCAGCATCTGCAAAGCATTCTATTCTTGTGTGATCATGATTTTGATAAACAACATTCCAATGATCAACATTCGGAGATGACATATATTGACTCACTATACTCACTGAGCATGCAATATCTAGACGGGTAACTGCAAGATAATTAAGCTTTCCAACCAATCTTCAATATCTTTCCGTATCTTCGAATGACATGCCTTCTTGAGTGAGTTGCACATTGGGAATCATGGGAGTATTGCTCGGTTTTGCCCCTAATTTCCCTGTTTCAGCTAGCAAGTCAAGTACATATTTACGTTAAGATAGAAATATGTTTTTCTTACTTCGTGTTACCTCAATCCCCAAGAAGTATTTCAGTGAGCCAAGGTCTTTTGTCTGGAATTGAATGTGAAGAAAATTCGGGCCAAAATACATGCATTATTACTCCGTGTAATCACAATATCATCTACATACACCACTAGCAATGTGATACCTGCTTTCGTCCGTGAAAGAGAGTGATCTGATCGACCTTTTATCATTCCAAATCGTTCAATTGATTGACTGAATTTTCCAAACCATGCATGGGGACTTTGTTTCAGACCATAAAGGGATTTGCGAAGTCGACAAACTTTCCCATACTCCCCATGCGCAACAAATCCCGGAGGTTGCTCTGATACAATGTTGAAATATAAACTAGAATGATATTGAAGATGAAGAGAAGGATTTTTGTGTATATTAATTGAAGAGTTAAGTCCCTATATATAGATTACAAAGATGGAATATTCCTATATAAGATGCTAATATGCTATACACGAATAATATCTAGAGTATATTCCTAAAGCATATTCTTATAATATCTTTCACATAACTGATGATGCTTTGATTATGTTTTGCCTATGTTAGTCTTCTAATTTGAAGTTAAAGAACCTCCGGCTCTGATATGCACTGTTTGTGAAATCTCAGACGTTGGAAAACATGAGGGGGTTGCTAAAGGCTGCAGATGAGAAAAGGCTAGCATCATTGAGTGAACTCTCTTCAAAGCACCAGCAGGTACAATTTCTTTTAGGGCCATCAATATTAGATTCCAAATTTAATGGCTTTCTATTGAGACTTATCTCTTAACAATCTTGTAGTTCATTTCTGGTCAATGTCTCTCTCCTCATGCAACAGGAAATTGAGAACTTGGAAGCCCAAATTAGAGATGCATTAGCTGAAAGGAGCAAAGCAGTTGAAACAATATCTAGTCTGAGGGTAGCAACCTATGTTCCATTTAGTTTACCTCAGCATGAGGAAACCCCTGTTGCCTTTTTTTATTTGCCTGAATTGATAATGCTACTACCTCCGTCCCTAAATGTTGTTCCAAAATAAAGTGGCATGCTGATTAAGGAAGTGAGAATTGTGTGGTGGAGAGTTGTGCAGAGGAGAGAGAAAAGCTGTGAACCACAAATTCTTTGCCAAAAAGGGAAAGTGAAGTTCTTTTTGGGACGGACGAAAAGGGAAAGTTGGAAGTTCTTTTAGGGACGGAGGGAGTATGAGAATAACAATTGCTTCACTTATCTTATGTTCTTCTAGATAGGTACACGGGACACACAATTTCTCTGGATTGAGTGGATCCCCATTTAAACTATCTTCTTTTATTGTTGTTTATCTGGTACTAATGGGTGGTTTTGCTTGTTCTTTTAGGCTACAGTAGCAGAGAAAGAATCTAAAATTGCGGAGGTGGAAGCAGCTTCGAGTGGCGAAGCAGCACGTCTAAGAGCTTCTATGGAAACTGTAAAAGGGGAGCTACTTCACCTGAAAAGTGAACATGTATAGCTTGAAAACTCATCCCCTAATCCTATAATAGGACTGACATGCCAACAACTTTACTTCCATGATTATTGATTCTTTAGCCCCTGTTGGTTCAAAGGAGGGGAGGGAAGGGGATAGCCAAGGAGGCTAGGGGAGGGAAGGAGAAGGAAGGATTTCCATAAACATTTATGTTTAGTTGGAGGAAAAGAGAGGAAGGTTTTATTCTCTAATTTACCGGGATGTGATAGCTTGTTTTGCACAGCTAGATAAATGTAACGATTATGAATATTACTACCTAAGTTCATAACTCATATTAAAAATTAATTTTTTAATATTTTTTTTTAATTTTTAATTTTTTTGTTTCAATTTTTCCGTTTTCAATTTTTCAACATTTCAGTTTTCAACTTTTCGGTTTTTCAGTTTTTCATTTTTCAAATATATGCAATACAACTTATCAGTTTTTCAGTTTGTCAATTTTCCAGTTTTTCAATTTTCAGTTTTCCGGTTTATCAAATATACACTATTTCAGTTTTATTTTTTTTTTAAATTAATTTTTTTAGTTTAAACTTTTCTAACTTTTAAATTTATTAATTTTTATTTTTTTTTGAATTTTGAAGTTTTTATTTTTTATTTTTAAATGTTTTTTTACGCTTTACAATGTTTTTATCCATGCCGCAACGACACCTTTCCTCCAAAATACCCCGATTTGGGGGGTTGAGAATGAAAGGAAGTGGAGGATTTCGGAAACTCTTGACTTTCCTCCCCTTCCCCCCCGGTTTCTTTCAACCAAACACACACAAATCTGTCACTTCTCTACTCTCCGCTCTAAAATCCTCCAACCAAACAGACCCTTAAGATATTGAGATTCGCCTGAGGCACTATATTATGTTGTGAGTTTGGTGTATTTGGACATGCAAACCTTCTGAAATGAAATTATCTTGTGTCTTAAGCTGTTGCTTTAGACTTGCAATTTCAGGTGTAAAGGATTTTTCAAAAGTCTAGGTATATATCTTTGTGTTAAACTATAATTGTATGCATGCCCTCAAGTAATTTGCATGTACAATGGATTTTTTGGTCATGTGAATTGATCAACATCTTCATCGGAGGAACTTTCAAAAGCCAAGTTTCTATTGATTATTCTTGCAAACAAGTTCTTAAAGTGCCCTTTCAAGTAACAGTTGCACGTGCAAGAATGATGCCACAGGTGTCTTTTATTTAAAGAAAGCAGACGGGATATGCTCCCATAAGGACTCAATACAATTTTCCTCTATTTTTGAATGAGTTGTGAAAGCTTCAATACTTGTCATAAAATTCTAGCTTTATTTCTGTAAGATTTTTTATGCAATCAGGGGAAAGAAAAGGAGAGTTGGGAAGCTACCACTCAATCACTCAGAACAAAGCTGGGGGTTGCTGAGAGTAACTGCATACGCTCTGAAATAGAAGCTGCCAAAATGCGAAGTATTTTCAAAGACTTATTTAAGCTGTCTGATTTTTGCGGCGAAAAATGTGTTAGTTATCGTTCCTTTCTCTGTGCACCTATTAGGTAAACTAGAATCAGAATTATCTGCTCAAAGTCAGCTGCTGAATTCAAAAGATGCTGAACTAGTATCGGCAGAAGAGAAGGTAACTATAATTCTTTATTATTGACCCAATATTGATATTGATATTTCAATTAAAAGGAGAAATTTTCCATTGATGGCGCTCTCTAGCCTTGAAAGAGATGGTTATCATAAATCGTTATGTTTGTTATGATTTGATATTTATATCAAAAGGAGAAATTTCCCATTGGCAACAATCTCTAGCCATACTTTTCTTTTCAAGTTTGATATATCATAGGGAAAATGGAAACTAATAATCCAACCTTTTAGCGGTCTTCTTACAATAGTCCCACCTTTTGATTATTCAGGAATAATCCAACCTTTGCACCCCATCTTCATTCAATGGTCCCTGACCGGTCGATGACCTGCTATTCCAAGTTATTTTCTTATCTTTGCAATATATTATACCATAAATCTCACCTTATGGCCGCATAACGTTTCGCAAAGATAAGAAAATAACTTGGAATAGCAGGTCATCAACCGACCAGGGGCCATTGAATGAAGATGTGGTGCAAAGGTTAGATTATTCCTGAATAATCAAAAGGTGGGACTATTGTAAGAAGACCGCTAAAAGGTTGGATTATTAGTTTCCATTTTCCCTATATCATATATAGCTATTGCTTTCTCAATAACTCTTTGATTCTCTTTTCTCCTTCAATGGACTTTTTATGGAAGTATAGAGAATTAGATTCTAGATTTAGAAAATGACATCAGAACAACAGAGTTATGCACTGGATTCTGTAGAGTGAAGAACACCACAGGTAAGAGTTTATTATTGAAGGTTGCTTCAATGGACTTATTATGGAAGTATAGAGAATTAGATTCTAGATTTGTAAGGTTGCATCAGAAGCTTGAGATGAGCAGAGACCTCAATAATTGACTCTAAATTTCTTTCTTTATCAGTATTTATTTTTTGTAATGTCCTATGATCCTATTCACTTGTTGCCACAAATTCCCTTTTTAATCATCTACACCCTTATTGCTTGCAGATAAGTCGCCTTGAAAGTGAATTCACTTCTTACAAGGTTCGTGCTCATGCTCTTCTTCAGAAAAAGGATGCTGAGCTGGCAGCTACAAGAGAAAATGAACAGGTTCGAGTACTGGAGGAGTCGCTGAAGGTACTTGCCTATGAGTTCTTGTGATGTTTCATCACCATAATTAAGATTGAAGCTTATACATGAATGTAGATGCTATTTTGCAATTGTTCTGCCTCTTTAGGAAATTGAGAATGAACTGCTGTTGGTATGTACTGAAAGGGACAAAGCTCTTGAAGAATTGAAGGAGAGTTTGGCGTATAACCAGAAGGAACTTGCTGAAAGGTGATCTTGGTTTGTGAAATTATCACTGGTTTGCGGTTTTGTTTAAACACATACACACACACACATACACACACACACACACACTCCCCCTGTCTTCTATTAGTTGTTTCATTTTCTTTTTGAGAAAGTAACTAAATAGTTGTTCCACTTTGCATTTCTAGTAAATATCGTCTCGTGAAAGGACATAAGTGCCTCTACTTTTTGTGTTCTCTCTCCTTTCCAAATTAGAGAAGTTACCACTAATATGACAAAGCACATTATTTTTCCCTATATAGGAATACACATATTTTTTTATGTAGCAACAGTTATGAAGCAGCCGTCACTCCATGCAATTTCGATGCGATTTTCATCATGGGTCATCCGGAAACAATCTCTTTGTGCTTTAGTACAGGGGTAAGGTTGCGTACATCTGACCCCCTTACCCCATAGTAGGTGGGAGCCTTTGTGTACTTAAATAATCCACTCTCTCCCTTGTTAGTTATTATCAATAATGAAGCATCCTATGTTTCCACTATTCTGCCACTTTCATCTTCCTTGTTAGTCATACAGACATATAAAAATCTCATGTAGTCATTTATTAGGAAGAAGTGTAGCCTTGGCGAGTTGGCGCACCGGTTACGGTGTTGCTGTGTGACTGAGAGATCACGGGTTCAAGTCTTGGGAGTATCCTCTTGTCAAAATTACAAGGGAAGGTTTGCTTCTTATAGACCCTTGTGGTGGGAGTGTGGGACCCTTCCCCGGACCCTCGCCTTGCAGGGGCGCCAATGTGCACCAGAATGCTCTTTTAATTATATATTAGGAAACGATGCGTCTTTTAGTAATATGTGGGTATTTTTCCCTTCAAAGTAACACATGTGTTACCCATTTAACTAATAACTACCACTATCAATTTACTCTTAAGTACCAGGAAACCCATTGGGATTTGGAATAACTAATAGAAGACGTAGGAAGTGTATATATGTGTGTGGGCGCATGCTCATGCGCACACATATTCCTGAAATGTGAAGATGAAACTTCATTGTTTGTTGAAGTTAACAATTAAACTTTTCACTAGGAATGTAAATTAGTATATTGCATCTTTGTAGAGATGCAGCTCTTATTACAGCAGAGAAACAGATTAGGAGCTTGGAATCGGAACTCAATTCTGCACTCTCAGCCCATCAAAGGGAAAAGGAGATGTGGGAGATAAACCTTCAAAATGTGGAAGAAACTTGGCGATGTGCGTATGAGATCTTGATTTTAACCATCTTTTATGTATGTCTGAGATCTAACATTAAAACACTTATTTTTTAGTGAGGTGTGATGCACTGAAGGTACAAAAGGAGGTGACTTTAAGTGAAAACATGCAAAAAGAACTTCTGGACCTAAAGTTACATCATAAGAAATTAAAGGTATTTTGTGGTCTTTTGTTCCTTGTTTTTTATCCTTATATATATAAGCATTATTTGTATCCTTTTTATTTTATCATTTTTATGCATATTCATCTCTTTTTATATTATCTTTTTATGATAGCTTATCTTTTTTATCTTTATTTTCTTTCTTTTCCTTTTGGTGGTGATATCATGTATCGGTTCATGTTAGCCGACCCCAATATCTTTTGGGACTAAGGCTTGGTTGTTGTTGTTGTTGTTGTTGTTGTTGTTGTTGTGTTTTAGACACCCCATAGGGCTCAGGGGGTCAGGTGGATTACTAATATCATTATATTGTTGCAGGATGAGCATGCTACATTTCGTGATCTTGCTGATAAAATGATTGAAGAGAAGGACGAGGAGATCTCCAGACTTCTAGATGAAATTAAGCATATCCGCCATTCACTCTCAAAGCAAGTAGTATGTGTCACTTACTTCTCATAAACCGCCTCTATCAATTATGTCTTGTAGGAACTGTCCATTCGCAAAAAGTTTGTTTCAAATTTTAATTTTCTGATGTTGTGCATGATGATCTCTTATCTCAGACTGATCAAAATAGCAACTATGATACTGGTAAGGCAATTTCTCTATGTCACTTTTTGGCATCTTCTAATGTAGATGCAAAATTAGTAAATAAATCTTAATTTTGTTTTGGAAATGGAACATATGCAGCATATGAGAAGCGAGAAGCTGCTAATACCTCAGCTGCAGAACATCAGATTCTAGTAAGCATCTGTTTAATTTTGTAAATGTTTGAGATTCTTTTAATGTTAATTTTTCAGTTCATTTGACATGGCAATTCCCCGGAAAGCTTAATTTTAGACCCTAAGTTGTAAATTTGTAATCCCAAATTATTGGGCTTATTTATTTGCAACACATTCACTATTCTCAAGTCTTGTAATCATATAGAAACTTAGCCCTTGGAGTGGTGCGTGCTTAGAGTTGTGTACTATTGTGTGCTTGTTGGCGGAGTTAGAGGGAGGAAAGTGGAGCTATACAAATCCTTCCAACTCCGCATATCTCAATCTCCCCCGTGTTTGAGGAATTTTTGAGTCATTTTTCTCTTGATTACTTTTCACCTTCAAAAAAATTAAAATGGTTCTGCATTATTATTATTATACTTCAAGACAGACCGTTATATTTGTACATTTCAACAACATACCAAATACAATGTTTTTGCATATTTTTCCAAATTACTAATCCATCCTCTCGATTGAACCAAACATAACATTCATTTCTAATCTTCCATTTCTCGCTATATTTCTGCTCCCTTCCCCTTCATATTTTGAACCAAAAAGGGGTTATTATTTATTTGTTCTAACTTTGCCGAATGTCAGATTTTGGCAAGGCAGCAAGCTCAAAGAGAGGAAGAACTTGCACAATCACAGCGTCACATTCTTGCACTTCAGGTAAGCAGTAAGCTGTTCTCCAGTTGGTCATTATTTTTCCTTTCTCTACCTACTTAGATACTTCATGTAAGTTTCTACAATTTTTCCTATACCTCAAATTTATGCTTTTACCATTCAGGAAGAAATTGAGGAGCTTGAACGTGAAAATCGTCTCCACAGCCAGCAGGTAGATGCTATGAAATTGCTTAGTTGTCTTATTTATGTTTCTATTGTTTTTGTCCCTTTATTTAACCATTACTTGGAGTGCAGGTATCCATGTTAAAAGATGAGCTTCGGAACATGGATAGATCACAGAAGAGAGAAGGCGTTGATTTAACTTATCTTAAAAATGTCATCTTGAAACTTTTAGAGACAGGTATGTTTAATTTCGTGGCACATCCAGGCTCCAGATGCAGTTAAAATTTCTCCTATAGAAGGGTCATTCATCCATACTGCTTATCCCTTATGTTTATTTAGCATGCCATATTCACTTTTTTTCTTCTACCCTGCAATATCTACATTAAGGACAAATATTTATTTCATAAGACTACTGGGCATTTATTCCTCCTCTAACGCACCAAAGATCATTTTTTCTTCTACCCTGCAATCTCATTTTCTCTTCTCATACACTCTTTTTTATTTCTTTTTTTTGTCCAAACAAAAGTGTACATTGTCTTTGTTTTTGTACGGTCTAAAATTTGATGATCATTTTTTGTATTATTAATAGGTGAAGTTGAGGCGCTGCTACCCGTGATTGCAATGCTACTGCAGTTCAGCCCCGATGAGGTAAATTCCTTGTTTACCAATCGATGAATTAAGGACAATGTGTGAAGTGTGAACCCAAGATTGATGTTAGCTGGAAAACCACCATGGTTCATGTCAATTTCATCCACCTGCACAAAACATTTTATTTAGATATTAAATCAATGGAAAATCACACTATGATGCATTATGGAATTTGTCTTTGTTTTTTATTTTTTGCAAATGTCGCCCATTAGTTGTGCTAGATTGTACTTGCAGTCCTTGTCGTGCTATCTTAATAATGTAGCAAAATCGGTTTTAATTTTGTGCAAGTTCTGTACCTTAGTTGTTCATCACGTTGAAGGTTTCATCCATTAATTGTGCAACAGCTTGGAGATGATTTCCCTGCCTTCAACTATGTAGAAATGAAGTTTGTTAGATTGTTGATGGATGGGATTACGTTTACAACATGTTGCACAATTATGATACTCCGTATTTGATTAAAATATTTTACACATTTTACAAAAATTAAAACAGAAACTTGTATTATGTAATGCACAATAAATAAGGGGACCAATAGTGCAATTTCCCCTAGAACTAAAATATACTACGTACAATTTACAACTAGAGAATTTCCAAAGACTTAGGATTACAGTGCTTATGAATCTAGGCTTTCTTGTAGTGAAAAAGTAAAAATAGGCTTACTAAAGGTTTGTATGTTAGCCATGATCGACTTTTTTGCTTACCAGCAGAATAACTAGCTTTTGAATTATTTGAGCTGAAATGGCTGCTTTACCTCAATTAATCATCAGCCAAAGTAACCTTAACCAGACAGACCTAAGTACCCATGCTTCTATATTTTACGTATTAACATTTCAACACATGCCATATTGCCATATCAGTTAGAGAATCATTCAACATTAATGGACTATCATAGAGTATGCCATCCAACATTATCACTTTACTTTCTGATGAACCAAAGTAGCCCTCAAATCCTAAAGAACATAGGCTATAACTCACATGATTGAGCTTTTTGGCAGATGCTCAAATGTCAGCAATCGTACCGCTCTACCACTAATGTTCCTGTCAGCCCAGCCAGCGATTCTTCTGGAACGGGACTGTCTCTATTATCTAGATTCTCATTCTCGTGATAGCTACGATGAACAGGTGATGGCACCTTATTGTTCAGGATGTCTGATACTGCTGTGGGCAAATTTGCCCATGCAGAAATCGTTTCCGCTGCTGAAGTACTTTATATGCAATTATCTGTAACAATTGCCATCGGTTCACAATTTTCTTTTTCCTTTTCCAAGTTGTAGAGAATCATATTTCAAAAGAAAAGAAAATTGCATGAGATATAGAATGAAAGATAAGATCAATACAATTTTATTGTATGTATTATTGTATTGTCATCTTTACAAGTATAGAATAGAAGGAACCTATTTAATTTATTGTTCTATTTTAATAGTTTATTTTATTTTGTAATGAACTCCTTGTTCAGACTCGGGCAACAATATTGATTCATGAGTTCAAGATCAACAATATTGAAATTCACAAGTCACAACTATGGATTTTCACTAACGAACTAAAAGCCATGCCACGAAGCTATTTTTGCCTTTGGCTTAGAACTTTTATTTAGATAGAGGTGTGTTTGATTTTAGTTTTATTTTGGAACAATTAAAAAAATTATACTCAAATACTCAATAATAAATTCAGAATGAAGTGTCAAGTGTACATATACTGTATACTCCAAGTCTCCAATGTAGACAAGGTTCCAACAACAAATATAAACAGCAGAAGGCTAAGGCAATAATTTAATTGCAAAATAGTGCAAACTGTGTAGGGATGGATTGGGCCGGTTCGGCTCGAGCCGGTACCCGGCCCAGCCCGTTACTGTGCAGGACCGGCCTGGCCTGGCCGACTGGGAATGGGGGCCCAAACTGGGGGTATTAGGGGTGGGCTACGGGATGCATTTTTGGTGGACCGGTCCGGTTGGTCCGGGATCGGTCCGAGCCCAAATTATTATTATTATTTTGATTTTTTGGCATTCATTGGCTACTATGTGGGTGGGGCTGGGTGGTTTGGGGGGTGGGGGTAGGAATAAATCAGAAAAACCAAATTTAATAAAAAAAACTTAGACCCGATCCGACCTGGTTTCGGTCCCAACCCGGGCCGGTACCGGGCCTTGAACCCAAACCCCAGTCCCGCACTCCTGCCCCGACCAGTTCCGGGCCCGGGCCATCCCTAAAACTGTGCAATAGTCAAATAATGTTGGTGCTCAATAGAATATTTGACTAAAATAGATGAAATTGACTGTATATATCATTCACGCCCCAAAATCCCAAATACAGAATGTTGCAAAAGAGAATATGGTTACAGAAGTACAAAACACATAGTAGTATTTGACTAAATTGCCTAACGTTGTTTGGACAAAAAGAAGATACATACAGAAAGACAACTGAAGAAGTACTCCATCTGTCCCACTAACAATGAGACAAGAGAGAGTGACACACAAAGCAATAAAAAGTATTTTGTGTGGTTTATATTGAATTGATAAAATGAGAATAAAGTAAAAACGATTTAGAGGCACACAAACTTTATCAAGTTTGGTATGAGATAATCTTAGTGGAACGGAGCGAAAAGGTAAAATGGGACAATCTTAGCGGGATAGAGGAAGTATGTCATAAAGAAAAATAGAAGATGCTTAGGGTTGTTTACTGATATAGATATTTTCTAGCTTTTCAGAACATTGAAAAACTATAAAAAGAAAAACGTGTTCACCGAAAAAAATTGTTGAAAAACTGGAGAGAGGAAAACAAGAAAATGTGTTTACCAAAACCAAAAAATGAGATATAACTTTGTTTTCCTTAATGAATTGAAAAAGTGAGTTCTACTAGTTGGGACAAAGATCAAAGAGAAAATTAATTGAAAACATGTACACACTCAACTACATGACGACTTACATGCCCAAGTGTAACTGTTTGTGCACAAACAATTAATTTAAATTTTAGTAATGGAAGTGTATGCGATCCCGACTTGTCTATGCACAAACAATTCATTTGTTGGGGTCACATACACTTCCCTTTAATAAAATTAAAATCAATTGTCTGTGCACAAACAATTACACTTGGCCATGTAAGCCGACATGTAACCGAGCATGTACATATAGCATTTCTCATGTACACTTGGGCGTGTAAGCTGCCATCCAACGAACAACCCTGGTTTACTAATGGAACTAGGGGACAATTAATTAATTAGAATAGGGGTATCAAGGATAAACAAATGTTTACTCCTATTTAAGGAAGATTAGGAATTAACTCCTGTTTAGGAAAAAGTGGTATGTTTAACTCCTATTAAGGGCAATTACTTTTTATGTTTTACGGAGTATCTTTTAAATATAAAATTTTTCATTCTTCATATTTAGTCCATTCTGTTAAATTGCTCGTCATTATACCTTGAATTCTTAATCGGTTGGTAGGTACTATTTAAATTCAACCAAAATTAAGGGCCTTGTTTGGCAATCGGCCCGTTAGCTGTTAGCTGGTTATGTCAGCTGTTTGATCACAGCTGGTTGTGTTAGCTGTTTTGATTGGCTGATTATGTTAGCTTGTTGTTAATAAATTTTTGGTAAAATTAGCTGTTATAAAATAGTTGTTTGAATGTAAAAAGACGTATAAGGACATGAGTGTATATATAATATTTGAGTAATGCTAATAGTGATAATGTTAAAACTATAGTTTATTTGCAAAATAAATTATTTAAGAAAACAATACTCCGTATTTTATTTGAAATGTTAAAAGAATAAATTAAATTTTAAAATAAAAGTATAATAAATCTTAACGTATAAATCTTTTAAAAAGATTTAACTCTTCTTGTTTTAAGCAGCATGTTAAAAATTGATAAAAATTAAAACGTAAAGTGTGGAACGAATGCAGAGCAAGTGAGCAACTAAAGGTAGAAATAGATACGAATTAAAAAACAAGCGTACGTGAAGCATGAGGGCATTAAAGGTAGAAATTGGAGAAGCCGTATCCAAACGCTAGACCATGCAGCTTTTCCGATTGTGGCTGATAGGGTGCAACAAGCTAACTCAATCAGCCATTTACCAAACACTAATTTTAGATTTTTAGATTGTCAAATTCATTAATTGTAGTCAAAGAAGCCAAAAAATGGCTGATAAGCCATTTTCCAAACAAGACCTATAAAAGTACTCCACCGTCACCAAATCTAGTCCGCAATATACTTCTATGATAATCTCTATCGATGTTGGACTGTCGTTTAGAACTATACCCAATCCCGAAAAAGTTCGTCAAATTGACTATTCTTAGTTAATGACATCAACTTTGATCAATGATATTTTTTAATACGAACTTATTTAGAATATGAAAATTATATCAAAATGTTCCTTATTCAAATGTTTTCATAAAAGTATAAAATTTATAAATTATACACAAATATAATAATTACAATTATTATCCAAAGTTTGTCATCATTGATCAAGAAAAATCAATATGATGAACCTTTTTTTGGACGAAGGTAGTACTTTTTTTTACCATTACTTTATACTTATATTCCGTAATATAAATTCTATAGTAAGTTAATATTTCAAAAATATATACTCCGTATTATTCATTTACTAATTTGGAAAAGTAAAGATATAAGTTAAACAAAAAAGATATTTGCACCCACCTTTATTTCTATTGTTCCAAAAGGTGGAATCTCCCACCCCAGGAGCCCCCCACTCTGACCCGACAGGATGGTGGGGATGTTAGTCACGGTGACTCAGTCAGCAGAATGACAGTAGACCCATACACCCGTGCGCAACAGAGGCCCAACCTTATTTCAGGTTCTGTGACCTCCACCCGGTCTGCGGGGATTGGAACTTTGGTCCATTGTTCCAAATCTCTCACCACTCGACCAACTGAGCTACCCGTGCAGGTCACCTTTATTTCTATCTTTATACTCATCGTGCAAGACTTTTTTTAATCTGTGAGTTCCGTTCACAGTCAATATTTTGTTTGTGCAAGATCTACATCTTAAGTTAAGTTACATTGTTGTAAGTTAAAATGCTTTGACTCAAATTGATAGATCTACAAGATATTCAAACCATATTCGATGAATAAGAAAGCGTCAAATTTCTGACTTCTGTGTTGTGGTTGGTGAATGAAATATAATCGCACCAGAAGTCATCAATTTGGTGCCTAGTTGGTTTATAGCCTCCGTCACCAACCACCCCATGGAAGAAGGGGGAAACGTTAACCACACATTAATTAAAAGAGAATGAGAGAAATAATGAGAAAATGAAAAGTAAGGAAATTGTTCTAAATAAGAGTAAAAACATTCTGAAATTTTAAAATATGATTGTCATACTTTATTCTTGAAATAAGAATAATTAGTGTCATGTTTTGATAGTACTGGACTTTATTGAACATTACAGTATGTTTCAAACTTAATACTCTCTTCGTCCCGTTGAAAGGTTTTCACATCCCACTTTGCTTATCTGGATATCGCGTTCAAAGGTTCCCATTTTATTTTAGAAAATTATTTAGCCTCTTCAATTACACCTCTATACATCACTTAATAAAGTAAAACACCCGTGTCATGCTGACATCGTATGTTTACTTTTACTTAATTTTTCTCTTACTTATTTTTTACCTAATTACTTCATTTAACAATTTATCTAAAAAAATCGTGTCATTTAGTTATGAGAACCTTCTAGTAGGACGGAGAGAGTGATAATTACTGAATACTTCTATTTAGAGAATAAAGGCACGACGAACCTTTTTAAAATTTCAAATTTTTATTTATAATTACATAACAAAATCGATAAAGTTTAAATGATCGTAACGTTTAAAATAAAATTGATTTTAGAAAGTAAATTTTAGAGGGTGTCATAAAAGAAATACGGAGGGACTTATTTCTTTGTATTTTTTTACTGATAAAGAAGACTACTTTATCTTTTTATACTACTCTAATCGTATTTTAAAGATTACAACATTAGGTTTTGACACAATATTTAAGGAGAAAATAGTAGGAGTAATGTAGAAAAATTAGAGAGAATGTGAAAATGTAGGAAAGAGATGATAAAAAATAAAAAAGTAAAGGTAATTGGAGTTTAAGGAAAAACTTACTACACAGAAAAAATGCAGCAAACTTTTAAATGCATTCTAAATAGAAAAATGTAACAAATTTTAAAATATGGAATATAGTTTTTTCTTTTTTTAACAAATAGTTTTTTGCCCCCATAATTCACATTTTGGCAACTTAAATTTTTTAGTGTTAATCGTCTATATTGATAGAGATAATCATGAAACTTGAATTAAACTCAACCTCAACTTTCTTCTCCTTAGAGCATCTACATTCATGATCTCTAATAATCAACTTTTTCTAGGATTCTTACCATTTAAA